AGAGAGAGAGAGAGAAAGAAGACAGTGAGTCAGCGTCCTCTCACATTGTAAATGTTGTACAGTCCTCGGTGCGGCAGGGGTGTCCTCTGCTGGAGCCTCAGGTCTCCGCTGATGAACAGTTTAGCTCCAGGGACAGAAGAAGAGTGTTGCACATAGGCCAGGCTCTGCATCACCACTGTGGACATTCGCTAGCAAAGAAATAAAACACTTTATTTGGAACATTGACTGAGGCTGGTCTGGATAGGCCTGGTGACGTACTGCAGTTAGCAGGTTGTACTGACATGGTGGCATACACACAGGAAGGGATCTGTAGCTCACTCACTGTCTTAGTACAGTACAACATTGTAACACGTATGGTATAAAACAAATTCAAAATAGCATCCCCCCTCAAATGCCAATTTCTTTGTTCTGCCTCTTTTTGCTCTGTGCTCCAGTGACAGTTGAGCAAGCCTCATCAGACCAGTGACTTTTAAATATTAGCTGCAACCAGGTCTGAATTTGGACTGAGTTAAGATTGACTGTCATTACTTTCTAGCTGAGCTCTGGCATGTGAAGCATCTATCTCATGTACAATCTGTGAGCAGATAGTCAGACTACGTACTGCAGTGGAATACATACAAAGAGCTGGTAGCTGAAGGTGAGCAGCAGTTGGACGCTGTACACCTGTTCCTCAGGTTTGAGAGGTAGCTGCAGTTGCAAAATCAGGAAGTCCAACTTCCCGTCCTGGTTCTGGTCCTCTTCTCTCACCTGTAAAGTGCGTTCACCCACACACAACAAACAAACAAGTATTATGCAGTCTTTACTGTTATCGGTTATCACATAAATGCACGCAAATGGAGGCACAAGCCCCAGGGGACGGTGGCGTACGTTTCGAGGTAACTATGGTAGATCGCTTACAGAGATAGATGGAATCCGCAGGTTGGCCCCAAGCATGTTGTTTAGATAGGGGAAAGTGCTCCAGGCCACATAGTCTCCCTGAGTGCTGGTTGCTGCCAGCAGCAGAGTCTGGTACTGGAACCTCACAACCGGTTGTTCCTCATAGGTGCTTCTTTTTATCCAGAAACCTTGGAATGACATGGCTTTTAACAGTGAGCAAGCATTTCTAATTGTACAGAAGCGTGCATTACTTATAGTTTGTCATTTAGCAATAGCGACAGGAGATTATAATAAACTACTGTTTGGCATTACGGTAACGTTAGTTTACCTTGGCTCCTGTAAGCAACCAGCAGAGGTGGGATGTATGTGAGGCACAGAACAACAACCACAAACAGAGTGGCTTTCGTGCAAACACTCGTTTTGTAGCGAAGCAACGCCGGGTGAGAATAGACTTCATAGAAAGCCATAGGTAACCATATAAACTGCGTTCGTAAAAGCCAGTGTTGTGTATTATCAATGCAACCGGCTAGCTAGTTAATGTTCAAGCTAGAACAGACGCTAACTGAGTGGACGGTCCCGGAGGGCTAACGCGATTAACGCTCACAGACAAACAAAATGTTAAACAAACACACATAAATCCTCGTTAAGTAATATCCATCTAACAGCCTCCGGGATGAAATAAGCGTATTTTTTTAGCGAAACGTAGCGTACTGACGTGCTATTTATGTTAGCCCTGCAGCTAGCTAGCCTAGTACAATACACCGCGCCATGTTGGAGCTTAGCTTAGCGTCTCACGGTTACCATGGCTGCCAGTGGTAGCGTTCACGCGCCTTTCAAGCAACACCGGTACAATGGGAAGAACAGGAAAACCTCC